GAATTAAGCACCCATCATTTTTACAGAAGGCTAACTTCATGTTAGCAGAACACGACTCCTCGTCCTCAGCTCACACTGCAGAAAATACCTTTTGTTTTTTCGTTCTTTCCTTCCTTTGTGGATTGGTTTAAACAAAAATAAATTACTCAGTTAAGCTTTGAACATAATCTTTCCATGAATCAGTTTCAGTGGAGATTTGCGACATGTCTGCACAGGAGTCCTGGAATCCAGCGCAAGATAAAGCTGTTAACTGACAAAAGTGAAGGGCACATCCCAAAGAGGTCCCTCCTGGAGCTGGCACAGTCCTGTAGGAGTAAATTACAGCTCTGCAAAGGAGAGGCCAGAGGAGAGGCACGACTTGCCCTCTGCCTACTCTGCTGCACTTCAGATCAGCTGGGCTGTGCAGAGAAATGCTAATTTTTTCCCCAGAATTATATATTCTTTATTGGATACAGTTGTAGCTGAAAAAAAAAAAATCTATTTTCTCCTGCTCTATTTCCTGCTCAACTAAGCAATTATTTTTGATGTGTTCACGGTTGCAAGTATTTATAATTTATGCATTAAATAATATCCCCAAGAAATGAGATCTTTAAACTCTTTTCTCTGGTCGAAGCTCACCTTCCACTTCTCCCTAAAATAGCTACTGCATTTTTTCATACGAATTTTCTGCAATCAGCAAAACCTTTCAAAGCTGCATTCCATATTCCAGCTTCTGGAGAAATTTCAGGGTCATCTGGCTCCACACACAGATGTAAAAGACACCCACCTCTGTCAGGCTTAGAGCAGTATTTTCTGACAAGGATTTGTGGGGTAAGCTGAAGGACACGTTCTCCAGGTAGCCCAGCATGGTGTCGGGGGAGTGGAAGTTCCCTCTCTCCTCGGTCAGATTCGTGATGATGGGTTGATAGGCGTTCGGAGAGAGCTACGGGAGGGATACAACTCGTCAGAAAGTCATTATTTATTGTGCTAGCTCAGAAGGGAGTTCGAGGCCCAGCAGACTGCTGGGGCTACGCATTGGAGGCTACATAACACAAGGGAAAGGAAAGCGCACAGACAGACAGACACGATGAACAGAACCTACAGGCACAGTTTGGGTTTTTCATTCGCAATTCAGGTCCTATCTGCCACAGCTTCCTGAAAGCCTCTGAATAAGAAGAAAACTAACAGACCTTTCACACTGCAGATGGCAAGAAAGTGAAAATACACTGCAAAAGCAGCTATAACTGCACATAGGCTGATGACAGGTAATCACGTGTATTCTGCATATGAAAAATTAAATTTTAATCCTTTCATTGTGCATCTACTAAACAGATGAAAGCTAATTTTGTTATTGCGGTTGGATTTTTTTTTTCTAATTTTAAAAGAAACGAGAGGAAAATATAGTAAAAAGGTTTTGAATGCTTTGTATCTTCGAAGTCTGTTTAAATACTTCCGAAATTTCTACTTTTTTCCCTTTTTTAATACAGAAAATATTTTTATTTAAAAATTAATTCCCTTTATCTGTCCTACATACAGAGTTCTGTAGTTCTCCCTATACATATCTTAGAGTGTTTATAACTGCAGCACTAAACTAAGCGCCATTAATGAAAATCATGAAGCCAGGAGGGTCTGTAACTCCAATATATACACATTTTGACACCATAGAAAAAGAGTTACGAGGACTGTTCCTACCGCAGGTTTTGTAGTGGTTGTCATCACAGACCACGGAATCGTTGAAGAGAGCAAAACTTGCACACCTGAGGAATACAAATACACACACAAATGAGAGCATTAACAAATCTGATAATCCCATTGCAGTTGAACCACTTCTAAATGAAAGTAACATCTTTGTTGCTCTGTGTGTTTTACTTATTTGCAGCACCGTAGCTACAGGGGCTTGTCTAAAGCATCTCATTTACAGATTCTCTCATCAATCTTATTTTGTCCTCTTGACATTGATGAGCCTTGATATTTAGTCTAAGCCTTAAACTTAAACTTTTGTTTGCAAATAAGAAATATTCCTTCTCTAGATCTTCTCCCTACATTTATGTGAAGAACTTGGGGAAAAGTAAAGAGAAAGAAATCCTATGCCTTATCAGAAATAAATAATTATCTGTAAGTGCTTCTGAGAATTTCTTATATAATGCTTTTTTTCTGTATATGTAATAAACTGGGACTGGGAACATACAGACACTGGAAAAAATGAGACTCCAGTCTCAGCTACAGTCTCCAACAGCTAATGTTTACTTGTGTCTTGAGTGTGAATTGCTTGAGTGCCAAATCACACCTGTGATGTTCATAAACACCTTTCCACACTACAGAAATAATTGAACCAAAAATATATAATAAAATAACTTAAGGGGGGAAAAAAAGAAATATTCAAAGCCAATGGAAATACTTTTGCTGCTTGCAACAAAACTAAGGCAGCCTCAAATAAAAGAACATTGGTAGAAATAGTGGTATGCTAAAGCTGTTGGGGCATGTCTGGTTTGCAAAAATCATTCAACAGGGGTGAAGGAGTCAAAAAAAACCCCTAGATTAGTAGTTTGAGCATATAATAATGTCTCTATTGAGCATATAATAATGTCTCTATTATATCTTTGTAAGTTGATTTCAAGCAATAGTGAATTTGCTAGTAACCAGACAGACTTTCCTAATACATGTCACCCACTAGAACCACATGCATTGAAAATTACCATATAAGTATGTCGTAAATGATTTGTCGAGAGGGAAAGAAATAAACTCAATCTTGGATGGTTTCCAATTGCTCCATTTAAAAAATATTGATTCCTTTCCGTGAAAAAGGATTTATTGGCCATTTGTGATAGAGAAATAACATTTTCTTCTAATCTACGTCTTGCCAAGAATTTATATTTGCAGGAGTGTGGTATTTCAGCAGAATCAAACAGTAGTTGCATATATAGGACATGTTTTTCTCATGGATGCAATAGGAATATCAATTATTCATTCTATTAAAAACCATACTGTCCTAACAATTTTCTTACTGCAAACCATGTTAGCTCAGCTTCAACCCTGCTTTAAGCCCTCTAAAGTCAATAGATAGATACCAAGAATAACTTCTGTTTACTATATTGAATAGTATTGTAATATCTATTGCTTCCTTTGAGAGTGCTCCAACTTTATCCATCAAATTGACAATTTTATAAAATCTGATCAGCCTACTACTTTGAGGGAAAAAGCAAAAAATTCAATGTTCCATATTTCTCACATGCTACAAATCACCTGAGCACTTTAAAAAATATTGGCTTGAAATTCTTCACACTTGCAGAAATATATACACCTGTCATCCCTTTACATTTTAATTCCTAAGCCCCTAGAAAATACAGATAAATCAGAAATTTTGAAGACTTTCATGTGAAGGTTTTAAAATAAAAAACTTGAGTGCAATCGCCATTATTTGTGCGGCAAAGCAAATAGATTGCTTCATTATATACCAGGTGGAGGATTTTCTTATGTGTCTTTAATTCTACAGAAACTAGTTTATATTTTCCTGAAATACATTTTGGATATATTTGATTGCTGTAATCAAATCTGGAAGTCACAAACACATACATTCGCATTTCCAGGAAAGCATCAAAAAGTCTGTGTTATTCAAAGAGCTTCTGCTGTGAAAATGGTTCCCATGGATTTAAAAGCACAGGAGTTGCGGGTGTAACTGATTTAGCTCTCAGTAACCTGGTAAGGATAAATGAAAGCAGGGAAACTGCCAGCAGAGCCAAGTGTTCCAGATGCCCCATAGCTTTGTTCCCAAGATGGATGTTTTCTAATTGCTACTCCAACACAAGCACTTAGTAGCAACAGCCTTTCTTGCAGTGAAGTTTGTTATAAAGATCCATAGAACAACTAACAGGGTTTACTGTCCAGCCTTCAAAGTCTTTGTTCCAATCCTCATTCGCTGCCTTTTATATTACATCTCAGCTGCTCTCTTTCTGTTTAGTGCACAAGCATACATGAGTTAATAGGTCCTTATCACTCCAGGAACTGGAGAGATAACCATTATTATCCACATCTGCTGGAATACACCGAGTGACTTGACACTGCATTACACAACAACCAGATTGCAAATCAGAAACCCGGAGCCAGTCTTTCTTAACACTGTTCTGCCTCTAACAATCGTTTCCCTTCTCTTGATCCTAAGGGATCTAACAATGGCTGGATACTTCAGGCCTTGGTAATTTTTTATGACTTTTGAAGGAGCTACAACCCAGAATGAAAATACTGCACATACAAAGACAGCTGAGCATTTCAGTGACATTCATACCTGACCTTTTCTGCTTCTAAAAATTACATTCAATATCTGAAAGATGTAAAACAAATGCAAAACCTACACACTAAACATTTTTAAGCCAACTTCTTTACAGAAGGTGAATTATGACAGCAATGCACGTACTCACCAATCGCAGCTGTAAAGTACTGCTCAATCTCATTGGGGGTGAGTGCCCTTTCCCATATAATGAATTCATCAAATGCCCCATTCACATAGCGCTTGGTTTGATCCCCCTCTGTCCCAGTCAGTAGATTTGCACTGGGGTCTCCATAATCATAGAAAACTTTCCCATCTGGATCAGTTGTGTTTAGAGTTCCGTTGACATAGACTTTCAGTCCTTCTCTCGATTTCCAAGTAAAGAGGATATGAGTCCAATAAGGCCCTGCAAAACATTAAAAGTCACAGCAAAATCCATGAATCAATTCCGTTTAGAGTCTTTCCTGTTCAGTATGGTTTTGCTGACTTTGTGCAATGCTATAAAGCTGTATAGGAAGTGCTAAGAGTGAATTATGGAATGCTGATGTCATGTATATTAATCTTTATACTCAGGGGGAAGCCCATGCTTTGGCAGAATGCCTGTTACTTTTGTCTGAACTCTTACTTGGGCTTACTGCAGTTTCATAAATTACACTTGCTAAGTACTATTGGCCAAGATTTGAAGTCTCTTCAATACTGTCTCAAAACTCAGTTCATCAAGAACTGCATAGACTGCAAAAACCAGAGAACAAGCAAATAGACTAATTTAAAGTTGCCACAGTTTCTTTGTTACACTTGGAGGCTAAAAACATAATATTAATTTTCAGCTGTATTGGATAAGCCATAAACCTGTGAATTATTCTTACCATTTAGCAGCTTTTCTCTTAAAATAAGATTTCTAAACCGATTTATTAAACTTTATAAAACTCTGCTACCACGAGGTGAGAAAGGCCTATTTTACCAATGTACAGGTAGTCAAATTAAGGCAAAAAAAAGATTTAGTGATTGTCACTGGCACTAGTAGAAGACCAAAATTTGTTCCAGTCACTAGGTAATACTGCTCTTCAACATTAGACAGATAGAAGTACTGAGATATGTGACATACTGGAATGTTTATTAATGCTATGCCACAGCATACAAAACTTGACACTCAGCAGATAATAAAATTACCAAAGCACCTGAGATAGTTACTAAACAAAAATCCTAATTTAGGAGGCAGCAGAGGACAGCACATGCATCCAGTTTTAGAATACACAGAGACTATAATACACCTACTCCAATTAACTCTATTCTTCACTCATGTTTCCATCCACTCATTAATCTGTAGATTTCAATAAGAATTCCACTTCAGAAACAACTGGAAGTTGAATCTGAGTACTGTTACTCAATGGCAAATATTCTATAATACAGTATCACAGGGTTTTAAGTTCATAGTTTATTTCTCTCTCTGCACTTCAAGAGAATTCGTAACCACAGATCTCAATAGCTGTTTTTTTATATCCACTGCTCTTTCCTGAAGTTGTGCTCTTACCACTACATCTCTCTGCAAGAATAAAGTAAAATATACCAAATAATAATAAATATATACACTTTACCTGGTGGACTAAAGCTTGCTTTCCACTTCATCATGGCACTTCCACGGGTGTAGAATTCCACTGAGCCCTCACCTTCATTGGAACAGATTTTGAAACCACTAGAAATTACTTGTCCACCAGAGGCAGGGAGATGCTTAGCTTGCTGATCTTGCGTCTTCCAGAAAAAGGAAAATGTTACACCTGATGAAAACAATTTAGAGGAGATTTTAGTGAAAAAAAATAAAAAAAAAAAAACCAAAAAGCAAACAAATGCAATTAAAAATTTTCAGTACTGTAAAATGCAGAGGGGGGGAATACTTTTGAGGACAGATCATCTGTTAGCATAAACAAGGATAGCATTTTAAAATCAACAATGCTTTAATAGCTTAAACCAAATAAACATCTATTCCTTGGTTTCACATCACATGCACGTACTCAGGATGCAGCAGCAGTCGTTGCTTCCCAAGTAGGTTCTATCCATTAAAATTAAACTTCTTTGAGCACCCAAAGCAACAAAGTCTTCTTTTCCTTACAAGTCTGTGCTTCCATTCCCTTTGCCTTATCTCTCCAGTCTCCTTACCCTTCTCACCCTGCGATGATACCCCCTTTTCCTCCTCAGATATTTGCTTATTTCAGAATACAAGTTTCTCTCATTTTTCCACATCCTCCACCAGCATCTACTCTTCTTTTGATGTTGACTAAATACCAGCAGAGCCAGAAATAGCACATCGACTCCTTCCAAGCTGCCGGCTTCCAGTGGCTGCCAGCATACCCATGCTTATTGAGCAGCATCCCTTGTAATGACACTTTCACTTTTCTAAGCACGTTATTACCTGTGTTTTCATGCTTCAGTGCTCTAATAATTGTCGAAAACAAAGCACCAATACAAAGGAAAGGCATAGGAACATATGCAGAGCAACAGTCAAAATTCTGAGGTTCTCAGATACAGAAAAACAAAAAAATCAAAGAATTCTGCCCAAAATTCAAGTGCAATCTTGCAAGCGCACAATTGATTAACTTGGTCCACAAATAATCCTGTTCAATTCACAGCAAATTTTACAAATACACTGCAAAATTGAGGAGCTCTTCAGATTGCACATTACTGAAGAAATATGGAAGTGCTAATCAGTTATCACCGGCCTCCTAAAAATCAATCAGTATACAAACATCAACCTCAGTTTGCTAGATCTTGAGGGATATGGGTTTAAAACCGTAAGTGCTGTGAACTCCCAAATGAAGTTTTAAGCAAGTTGCAATTCCTTCATCAGCAGAGAAGCCCAAGTTCATATTTCAGCTGCTTTACAACAGTGGTAACAGGCTGAAACACTGATTCAACCCTCTTTCCAGAAAGCCACGCGTTTCCCTTGTATCTGCACGCCATCCCTCAGCACCCTAGTGAAAGAGCCACCAGGGCTGGCCGGGTTAATTTACCGCTGCTTTTAATGCGATGGCTCTGTCGAAGTGTCAATCTGTTTCCAGTGCTTCACCACACTTCTGAAAGGTATGGAAGCGCTGTTACTCCTTTACAGGAATTCAACTTCACATACGTCAACTAAATCTAACTTCTCCTACCATTTTCAAACGGTCTCTGGCATTTAACTGTTGGACTCAATCATCTTAAGGTCTTTTCCAACCTAAACGATTCTATGATCTTTCACAAATGTTTGTTTCAACGGAAAATGCCACTTTAAAAAGCTCAAAACGACTTACAAAAACATTGTTTAAAATTTACTTGAGAAAGAAGGCAGGCAGGGGAAGAACATTTCAACATCTTAAAAACAAGACTTTGTTTTCTCAAGTCAAAATAACAGCTTTGAAATGTTATTAAATTTAGCCTAGCAAAAATAATGGGATTTTTGTTTCATAGGTTGCAATATTTCACCTGATAAGATCCCAAGATTGTTTCAGAAAGCATTGCCTGCTTAAGTCTATTTAACACATGTTTCACAAATGCAACCAACTAACATCAAGGGATGTTTAAGCAACAGCAGGCTTGAATAAGATTACATCTTATTATCACAGGTTTTATTTGATTCAGAGAAAAACAATAGGCACCCTCTTTTGATAAAGGCTTTTTCCTTTTTTTCCCCCCATACCTTTAGTATTTACTGTTCACATGATTTTATGCGCTGACCATTTCAGTGGTTTATGTTTTTCATGTGAGATATTGGGAGTGCTCTAGTTCTACCAAAATATTTTTTCTGATTATTATGTTATACTATAGATGTAGAAATAATATAGTTTACTGATGATTTTTGTTTCCCAGTGGTGTGAGAAAAAGTACAAAAAGATAGAGCATATCTCACAAAACATACCTAGAGTAGGATACTGAATTACCTTTTCTAATACCCCCAGGTAACAGCTGTGTACTATCTGCTCTTTGAGTTTCTGCTACTTAAACACTTCATACATGGCTCTTGATTTAGCAGCTCAAAAAAAAAAAAAAAAAAAAAATCCCATTTCAAGTAATGCTACCAATTTGAAGAATGGCCTAAATCAATAAAAAGCAAGAAAATTCAGTGTTAACAATATCGATGGAGCTTTAGGACTGGTGGAGTTTATGTGTAGAAAGCCACCGTTTTCCATTCACCCTTCCATTTGCACCAAATTTTAAATCTCAAGTGTGTTTTACACTAGTGACCAGTTGTATGTTTGGTTTGGTAGTCATATACAGTTTTAATTACCTTCTGTAATCAACATACTGTCAAATCTGTGCTTTCCTTTTCCACCTATCATTTTGTGACCCTAGCCCAAGAAGAAGAAAGGGAAAAGAAATAGAATGACAAGATTTAAGCATCTGCAAGGATTAGTGGATTCCAAGACATCAGAGATTAAAAAATTTTGTTCTCTCCAAAGATAAATCTAAAAAAAAAAATCCAGGAAAAAACTCACAAAACAAGACAAAGAAATACCCCATTC